CGGGGCAGGCGGGGATCAAACTCATGCGGAAGCGGCTTTAGATTCTCAGTGCTGTGCTTTAACCCGCTGTGCCACCAGGGAGGGCCTGTCCATTTATTTTTAAGAATGGTGCATTAAAAGGTTTATAAGAGTTATGTGTTGAATTATATCACTTCTTGTCTTGTAGATCTACCTTTTTGAGTGATTAGTTTGGAACCCAGCCATTTCTGTAGAGAGCATGGAAGCCTACCTTCTCCCACCTATGTCAGTAACAGTTCTGGATCATTTACTTTCTTCAGAGAAGAATCCTCATTTATACTGATTAAGTGATATATATATACATCTCAAGAAAAGGCTGCTAGATGTAAAATTTTTACTTAATCCCCACCGTTTTTCATACCTCATTATCCCTCCTGTAACTTTCAGCTAAATCTGGCATTTCCATGCATGGAGCCTTTCTGTCTCACTTTCTCCAAAGAATGTATCTGACTTTTTGATCTAGATCTACACATAAAAAATTGGTGTGAAAGTGGTGGTTGTATATGTAGATGGTAGATTGGTGCCTGACTGTATCAAGTTGCATGGTATAGGTCTAACTGCTTACACAGAATTTCAACCAATCTGACTTTTTTAAGGCATATTTAATTTCACCTTTTATCTCCCTGTCTTTCCTGGTGGTTGGTAGCATCAATTCCTATGCTTCTGTGGGTCTCTGGACACCTCTTGTTCACCTCTTTTAACTACTAAAGCTTAGATTCAACTTTTTTGGTATGCTTAGGTCAGTTACCACTCCTCATTGATATTACATTTTCCTGCCCACATTTTTATTTTTAAAATGCGTAATTTTACCTGTACAGTAGACACTTTAGTGTATATTATCCACAGATTAATCTAGTTTTTTAATCTGTATCTTTTGAATCAATAAAAATACTGTTTCAGTACATATGGCTCTGTGGCAGTATCTTAGTGTCTAATACTCTGTTTTGAGCATCACAACATAGGGTGAACTATCTGGATTTTATCAGTCTGTCCTGTGTCTCCTATTTGTTTGGAGTTTGTTATCTGAATTGTATCTGACTTTCCTTATTTCTCCAGAACTGAATGACTATGACTTGATTAATGTTTATGAATACCTCTTTAGGTTTGTCATTTACTGTTATTGCCTTATTTATTTTATTTTAGTAACATACAGTTCTATATAAGCTCTATATTTTGTGCTTTGAAAACAAATTATCTTTGCCTGGCATGCCCTTGTCCCTTTGCTTTTACATTTTTATGTAATCATTTTCCTTCTGTCCAGAAGTCTCTTTTTGCCAACATGGGCTAAAGTTACCATTTCTATGTCTCATCATTGTACTGATTACGTAAAAATATAGGGTATTTATTTTTTCTCTTCTTGTAGAGAATTTTTCGATTGTTTACTATTTACAAATAATGATAAAACCTAAGCTAAACTTGGGGGCTGTCCACGCTGATAGACATGTGCTAAGTGAGTGCCAATGTACTTATCCAGGAGGAACTAGTTAGTGCATTCCTGCTGAAACCAGTTTAGTGACTAATGTTACTTAGCTTACCGGCTAACTTAAAATGTTTTCCACCTCTTCCTTCTCCCCATTTAGAATTTGTGTGTTTGAAGATAGTGAGTCAAGAGTTCTCATTATTTTCCAGAGTGGATTTGAAAAATATTAGAATTATGACTTAAATATATAGATATTTTAAACTTTATCTGTAAAGATGTAATATCATTTTTATTAGAAACAAGGTTTAAAAAGTAACATTTTGAGAGATTTCTGGTTTCTTAACCATCTTCTGTTTCTGAACTTTAGTTACAGATGTAGAGCTGAAACGATTGAAAGATGCCTTCAAGAGAACCTGTGGACTGTCATGTTACATGGGCCAGCACTGCTTCATCAGGGAAGTGCTCGGAGATGGAGTACCTCCAAAAGTCGCTGAGGTGATCTTCATGTTCTAGGTTTTCTTTTTAGATAGTCACCCATCAGCCTGAATTCTTGTGGAGCCAACTGGACTTAAAGAATTTAATCTTCCCCATAGTTATTTTTCTTGCTGAGTAGGTCTTGTTTATTATTTTGTTAATTGAAATTTTGTTTCTTGACTAAACTTTTTATTTTCAAACATTGTTGTTCGATTCTGTACACTATTTGATTTCTCCTCTCAAATGTAGTTCCCAGAAGTCACCCACCACCATATCACCAATGAGCCATCACCATAGTCCCTTATGTTCTTCCCTCCCCTGTTTGACCCTTATTCCTCCCCTTCCCCTGCTGTATGCCTCAGACCTATAATTTGCCTGTAAATTCTGTCTTCTTTTCTTGGACCCTTTGTTTGCTTTCCTCATGTTCTTCCTGTAAGTGAAACCATCCATTATTTTTTCCATCCATGTTGCTGTGAATGGCGTGAGTTTTATTTTTTTTTTTTTGATCACGGAATAGCATTCCATTCTGTATATGTATCATATCTTCTTGATCCAGTCATCTGTATTGGGCATTTAGGTTTTTTCCATACCTTAGCTATTATGAATAGTGCTGCAGTAAACATAGAGGTGCAGGTATCCTTTGTGTCCTTTGGGTAGATTCCAAGGAGTGGAATTGCTGGGTCATATGGCAGCTCCATTTTTAGTAATTTGAGGAACCTCTGCACAGCTTCCCATAGTGATCGACTAGTTTGCACTTCCACCAGCAGTGAAGAGGGCTCTTCTTTTTCCACATCCTCTCCAGCATTTGTTGTCAGTTTTTTTTTTAAATATGGTCCATTCTCTCCAAAGTGAGTGGTGTCTCATAGTGGGTTTGATTTGCATTTCTCTGGTTCTAAGTGAAGTCGAGCACTTTTTTCATACACCTGTTGGCCATTTGTATTTTCTCTTTAGAGAAGAGTCTTTTTAGTTTTTTTGTCCAATTTTTGACTGGTTTGTTTGTTTTTGTTGAGTTGTGTAAACTTTTTGTAGATCTTTGTTATCAATCCCTTATTTTATGGGGTGCAGATATTTCCTCCCAATCTGTGGGTATCTCTTTGTTTTGGTTATTATCCTTTTTTTCTGTACAAAAGCTTTTTAGTTTGATATAGTCCAAGCTGTTTATCTTTTCCTTCATTTTCTTTGCTTCTGAGGATGAGGCTTTAAAGATGTCTCTGAGAAGTATGTCATGGAGTGTTATGCCTATGCTCTATATTTTACGGTTTCAGATCTTACACTCAACACTTTTATCCATTTTGCATTGGCTTTGTGTTTGGAGTGAGATACTAGTCTAGTTTCATTCTTTCTCATATAGCAGCTCAGTTTACCCAGCAAACAGGTCTTATTTTAGGTGTCCATATCCCTGTGTTCTTATAATCAAATGGAAGTACTGCAGAGCTACAAGTCTGCTTCCTCTGTATTTCCTGAGCGTTAACAGCTGCTTATTAGAACAATCATGAGACCATTTGTTTGACTGCCTTCTTAGTCTCATAAATTTTATTACTCTGACATACTCTATATTGGGAGTATATCTTACAAGTTTTGTTGAAGGAGAACCTTTTTATTAGTGAGTCAAACCTAATTCTGTAAAATTAAATGTTGTAAGTGAAAAATGAGCATATTGAAATTTATAAAGGCTGATTTAAAATCCTCCCTAAAATTTTAGGTAGAGTTAGAATATGTTAAATTGATATAAATAATTCCCTTTTAAAACTACTAAATTTAATATTTTTGGGGTATATATGTTTGTGTGTATAAGATGTATATATATGTATGTGTGCATGTATGTACTGTCATGATCTGTTTCAGAATGAATTTATCCTCATATTTTTTTAAATCTTTGTCTTAAATGTGATTATAATATAAAAGCTTGGAATAAAATTGTGTTAGCGGCCAGTTATAAGAGGTACTTAAATGGAATCTTCAGTAATTAATACAGTATACTTCCAATTCAGAGATAAGTACTTTTTCAGCCTTTTACCCCCCTCCTTTCTTTTTTTAATTGATTAATTTTTTATTATTTTTGCTTGTATATTCTCAGCTCCTGTCTCAAAGTCAAAACTGTCAACCTCATTGTAATTCATGGAGCTGGAGAAAACTTAAGTCAGACTATCTGACTCATCTGTTTGAATCACATATAATCCTTTATACAGATCAAGGCCTACATTTGCACATATGTACACCTATAAGTAGATCTCCATTCAGGTTCATGTACTTTTTTAAATTGGGTTTTTAAATTTTTATTCTTTTTTAAGATTTATTTATTTATACCAGCAGAACTGGGGTGCAGGCCAGAGGTGCAGGGGAGGTGAGAGTATTAACCAGAGACAGAGTACAGAGTAGAACAGGCAGGTTGACTGAGATACACTGCTGAGGGGAGCAGTGAGCAAGGCAGGAGAGTCTGCTGCATCATGTTGGTCAGCTCTCTGGTTGGGGGCTTTAACTGCAGTGGCTGCTGATAGCTTCATAATGCTGAGACTTAATCCCTTGCACCAGCAGGGAGGCCCTTCTTCCATTTTTTCCTACAAGTTTTAGCTCTTACATTTATGTCTGTTCATTTTGTGTTAACTAAATGTATCACTAGTTTGAGGAATCCAAGTTAATTCTTTTGTAAATGGATCTCCAGTTGACCTAGCACCATTTCTTGAAAAATTGCCCTTTTTCCACTCAACTGTCTTGCAGTCTTGATGACCCTAAGCATGAGATTTTTTTGGGAGTTTCAGTTCTGTTCTTTTGATTTCTGTGTCTGCCCATGTATCAATTTCATATTGTTTTGATTACTCTAACTTTGTAGTAAGTTTTGAAATTAGAAAATGTCATTCGTTCTTTTTCATGTTGTTAGGATATTCTGGGTCCTTACAAAATCCACTGAAGTTTTATGATCAACTTTACAATTTCGGCAAAATAAAGTTAGGATTTTGATTGGGATTGCATTGAATGTATAGGTTAATTTGGAGAAAATTGCCATTTTTACAGTATTTAAGTTTTCTGATTCATGAAATCAGAATGTCTTTTCATTTACATAGGTTTTAAATGATGCTTCTTTCAATGGCGCTTTATAGCTTTCAGCTTACAGTCAAATGTCTACCAGTTGAACAAAGTGTAGCCACACATACTACAATAGAATATTATTTGTTAACAAAAGGCATTTTTTCCCTTCATATTTGCATGGATGAATCTTCAAGACACTAAGTCAAAGAAGTGAAACATACAAGATCACATATTTTGTGATTTTATATGAAGTGGTGAGAATAGTCAAATCTTTAAGTCAGAAAATAGCTTAGTGGCTCTTTATTAAAAATTTAGCTGATTTTTCTTCTTTTTAAAAAAATACTCCCTTGTATGACATCTGATCTGCCTCCTTTATTCTGCCACTGGAGATGCAATTCATGCATTCCTCCTGGGTTTTGGAGAAATTTGCCCTGCCTGGGATGTCATTCTACTTACCTTATGATCTCAACAGTCCTGATGGACTCAAAAAATAATGTCTGATAGTTTATCTGACTTGTTCTCATTTTTAAGTTAGGAGTGATACTCATTTTAGGCTCTCTATACCTAAGGTGGAAGTGGAATACCTCACAGCATCATTTTTTTTTTCTTTTAAAAATTTATTTATTTTCTTACATCATTGCTCAGTTTTGTACAATATTTGGTTTCTTCCCTCAGGAATATTTCCTGTAGTTCCCCCACCACCATTGTTTTTATGTATTTAAAATTTTTTTCCACTTCTCACAGCATCATTCTTCTGTGAATATTTCATTAATTGCATTTCACCCAAAACTGTTGCTTTGTCCTTTGTACTGTTAAAAGTCACAACTAGCTAGAATAATTAAAGTAATTGTTTTACTAACATGATCTTAATTTTAAATTATAAAATATACAATGATAGTTTCAGTGTAGTTAACTAGTACATTATTAAACACAAATAGAAATTTTACAAATGTCTTTAATGATGATGATTTTTTGGCCCTCTTTTTTTATTAACCTTATTCTTACTTTAAGTGGAGAAGGATACATTCAGTGTGTAGCATTAATGTATATGTATTAAATAATAGGTTGTATAAATTTTACAGTATTTTAAGAAACTAAATACTTCTATCTTTAGTCAAACTCTGGTATTTTCTTTGGAAAGGAAGTTTTTATAGATTCTTACATAGTAATCTCAAAGGATGATTAAATTCTGTTAAGTTCAATTCTGGAATAGTTTCAGCATTCATATAAAGTGAATTTGGGACTTATTTCAGGCACCTCTCCAAGATAGGCAGGTCAGAGAAGATAGACTTAATCAGCTTTTACATTTGGAAAAGGGTGAGAATTTTTGTATATAACTCATGCCTGAACTGTACAAAGTTATTTCCTGAAGGAGAAATGGTATGTGTTAAATAAATTGGGACTATAGGCTTAGGCAGTTTGTTTTGAAACTTGAATTCAATTTTAGTGGATGGATAGGCTAAGAATTGAAATTTGTATTTTATAGCTTCCAATAAATCAAGCTAAGTAATGGGAATTATAAACAAGCTCACTTGTTGCAAAGCTAAGGAAGTGGTCATCCCACTGTGGCCCTTGTGAGTGCTTTCTTAAAATCCTTTGCAAAGTTTGGGCCTTGTGAAATCTGGGTGAAGAGGATCAACTAGATTGGCCAGGTTTTTAAAATTTATATTTTGAGGCACAATAGCTTTCTTTTACTGTAAATATTTCTATTAGAAAAGCATGAGAACCACTTAAATTGGGAAGAGAATGTATTCCCTACTTAATCAGTGTTTTTCTTTATAATAGAAATAAAACATGTCATTGACATGCAAGGTATTTTAGGAAAGGTATTTTGGGAATCTTAGTGTAAAAGGATGCTAACCTTAAAAAGACAGTGTATTTAATCCTTTATTTTTATAATTTATCTATTTATTGGTGTTAGTTCTTAATATGTTAATTGTTAATAATTAACAATATAGTAATGTTATTAATAAATTTTCTAAATTTATTTTTAT